TCAAATACCTTGGTACTCATTCTATTACTTTGTCTGAATGTGGTCATTTCAAGGTAAGCTAGGCAGAGAAGCTGTGGAGATGTTTTGGGGGAAGGAAAGCCTTTCTTCTCAAGTCACATCTCTGAAGCGTCCATGTTTGCAGCTTTGAATCTATGTCCAATTTTGTTCTATGGCAATTCTAACTTACAAGCATGATGCAAAATTATAACTTGTTTAAAAGTTAGGAAATTATCAGAAAGTAGATTCTTCCTTCCAAAGCAAAGATGCACCAAAATTAAACAGGCAAAGCAGACGTTACTTAAGTCTATAGCAACAAGCAGAGACAGACTGGGACTTAGTCTGAGCTTAGTCCCACTGCACTGGGGTGCAGCAGGGTTTTTAAAGGCTGGGTGAGCAAGGGGAAAAGTACTGGGGAATGTTACGCCCTCTGTGTTAGTTACTTGACTTTATCCAAAGGAAAAATAAATTCATATTTTTATGATAGGAGGTCGTTTTGCAACTTGGATCAAGACACCCACTGAAATTAGGCTCCTCATCTCCCACAGCAACTGGGAGATAGGCCCCTATCTTCTTTGATGATGACATTTCAAAGAGGTGGCTCCTAGACCCTTGAGAAAGACATTTTTGGTTATTAAACTGGCAAGAGGCTTAACAAATTACATCTCAGAGCAGGTAGAGAATAGGCAGTAATGAGTTTTCTAGAGAAGATGCTTTAAGTAAAAGGAGTTCAGGGCCTCCAGTGAGGAAGAAGCCTGTCTCAAGTGTAGCTGAGGGAATCCTTGCAGTTGTCTTGTTCACCTTCCTCTCTGAGACATTAATTAATAAGCTCACGTTGGAGTTGCCATCTGCTTCCTGGCCAACTACCTTATTTGTCTGCCTGTTGGTTGAACTTGGCAAGTGTGCCAGCTTGGCCAGGATGCCAGGGCTCTGAGTTGCTTTGGGGGCTGATGGGGTTCTCAGGGCTTCAGAAGGGGAAGTGTGGCTGCTAGTTGCTGCCACATTCTGGTGTGAGTCTGACACCTGCTTCCTTCTGTGCGGAAGAGAGAACCTCTGACCCTCTTTGGTTCAGAGCTAGACGCCATTGGCCAGATATGTTTTCCTGGAGTGAGGACTGGAGGCCTTGTGGGTGGCACTGTGGAGTCTTCAAAGCTCTACTATGTACCTCACCTGGGCCTTTCACGGAGCCACATCCATGGGCATCTCAGGAGCATAGCCAAGGCTTGGCACTTGGTCATCTTTTCCTGTTTTAGCTCCATATCCTGAACGCACTTGCCTCCAACACCCACTTGCCTTCAATACCCACTCGCCTCCCACACCTGCACCCTCCTACACCCACCCTCCCACACCCCTTCAAAACCTACCCCTTCCATCTCCCACACCCCTCTGACACCCACTCCGCTCTGACACCCACTCCCCTCTGACACCCACTCCCCTCCATCAACCACTCCCCTCCGACACCCACTCGTCTCTGAGACCGACTCCACTCGGACATCGACTTCCCTCTAA